CCATCAATGATGGTAACCCAATGTAGGCTTTTTTCTATCTCAAGAGGTCCAGATTAATTGTGGTCAAAATCAGCTATTTGTATGGTTAGTTGAATCACTAGACAAATAATTTATTTTTAAGCACCCATTCTAATATGATCCATACGATGGATAAGTCTAATGATGGACTTGCATGATAAGGAAGGATGAGCTACGCTCTTAATGAGATCTATAAGAATGGTATTAGTTTGAACGTTTATATGCAGGGGCACTCTTGATAGACTCACCTGTATGAGTGAAGAAGTGAGGTTGCTTCCCATGGGATTGGACTCGTACCTAGAGAGCTCATGAATTTGAGTTATAAGCTCAAGGCCCATATCAATTTGGCAGTAAAAAGAGTCACCATAGAGTGTATGTCATATGTGTGTTGTGTTATTTATATATTGGATAAGATCCGTGGTTTAAAGTTATATGTTACCATGGAACTTGATGTACTTTATAGTGCTTTCACTAAGTGAAGATTCAAATTAAAATATACCTTCATGATATGCAAATAATATATGTTGCCTGATGTTTTCATATTATTTTGAAATAAATGAGGAAATTGTTGTATTTGTTGCTTTAGAAAAATACTTTATGTTATCTCAAAATAATAAATCTCTTTCTCCATATTGTTTTGGAAAGTGTAAGATTGAAATTGTGTTTTCGTCTTATGTATTGAGAGAATGTTGGGATATTCATCCCACATTGAAGCTGTGGAAGAGAGAAGCCTTGTTTAAATACACGACATTCTTTTCACTTGTATTCTTAGAACCCAAGGGAGAGAAGGCCTATAAAGAGCACGTGCAGCATGCATACGTGCACTTGCCTTTTCAAAGGCGAGAGTACAAGCGTGTTTGATGATGCATCAGTACATGAGGCATCCTGGTGCATTGTTCCTTACTGGTAGAATGCAAGGCTATGGTGAAGTGGTGTGCTCCGGTACTCATGATTCACCACTGAAGACGTGTACATAACGCGTAAATGGAAGAGACACCTGATGTTTGTATGTACACACATGATAAATGCGACGAATGTTTTTTGGAACTCGAAGAGTCACCTCGCCACGGATAGGTAAGATTTCAAGAGTCACAACTATTAACTTATGCGATCACATGTGAAAGTGAAATGGCATTTATCTCTCTATATACCTATTTTTAGACACATAGAAGCCATATGATTTTTTTAATTATTTTCTATTATACATTTCTCTCACTAGAAATAAGACAACTCTGGTGTTCTAGATCTTGCAGAGTGCATTTGTATTGATAAGGTAATTTCATCAATCCTCTACTCTTAAATATCCCAAGGACAAATTTGTATGGTTATAGCTTGGGTGCACACTGATTATTACCAAGAGGCAAATATTGTCTTGAAAAAGCAATATGTATCGCGCGTTGGATCAAAGATAGCAAAACATCATTATTTTCTACATCATTTATTTTGCCCCGCTTCACCATCCTATTTCCAACATTTAGAATATCAGCATTTTTGAGGCACTTGTAGCCTACAAATAAATTTTCTTTTCACAGATATGGTTTGGGGCGTGGTAGAATGTTACAGAACTTTGTAGTACACCGCACATCGGAATTTGGCTTTTTAGGTGCATAGAGTAGCAATTTTGGTGACCCACCTAGAACACACTATCATTTCTCATATTATTTTTTCTTTAAAAAAATATCTATAGAATTGGGACTCTCTAGGTGAGGAAACTTTATTTACTAGAGTATTGTAGAAAGAAGAATCATGGAATCAAATAAATTTGTCTATTTTGCCTATCCAAATTAATAAAAAATAGCTAGTTTAACCGGTCAAAACTATTTAAACACCGGTTTAGAGTATGAGCCAATTAGAACAGGTTGGTTTCGATGAGTCTCGACGGATTTTTAACTAAAACTGATTTACTATTTTTAAGTTGCTATAAATTAATATTATAAAATTATGGGCATTATTTAAAAATCATTGAGAAATTGGTGGTGTACCGTCTAGGACCCCTCGATTTTGCTCGGGAAGATTGGAGCATGCTCAAATCCGATGGGTGACCAATTGGACCCACCAGTTCGGTTTTTAATCCGTTGATTATGAGATGCTCCACCATAACAAAAACTATCAAAAAACGAGCAGAGGAAAAATATTTTTGCATACAAACTCGAATTAGTATTCCATCGGTGATTCATGGATACATTGTGAGCAAAGTAGTATTTACTTCCAGCCCGCCTCATTTGGCAAGGATGCATTGCCAGATGGCTAGTACTTTACTCTGAGAGGTTTTATGTTTTTTTGGTAAGGAAAACATTTGGCCAGCAAACATTAAAAATAAAAATATATAATAATAATAATAATAATAATAATAATAATAATAATAATAATAATAATAATAATAATAGTAATAATCTCATTGTTGTACATTAAATTTTGTTGTTATTGATTAAATCAGTTAACATTGCACATGCACACGAAAAAAACAATTATCCATGGCCAAATTGAATGATATTTGCCTTGAAAATAAGACTAATGCGATCTTGCTGGGGAATATATTTTTTTATTTTTCTTCTTTTCACCCCTTTTCTTTTAGCAAATAACACTTACAAGTAGTCTTATTATAATAACTCTTGCTTCAAATAAAACTACACTAACAAATCCAATATCTTAAAAACATTGATGTCATTAAACCAATTTTCTTTAAACAAAGAAAATATCCACAATTCTTATGCTTGGAATATAAACTTAATATAATTAAATATAGCTAAACACAAAAAGAGGATGTCAATGATTACCCCAACCGGGCTTATTACACCCTACACCGAGTCACCACCATCCGATGGTACAGTATTGACAGTCTTCGTTCAATCTCAACAGGAAAAGCTAATTTCGACCAAGTTCTTCAAAAAACCGTTTACGATCTTCACAAGACCCTTAAATTCAATATCTCAAAATATTACTCTATTAATTCCCCTTTCACTATTTTATTTTTACGCCATAGTTATAGGACAAATATTGGAGAGAGAAGAAAGAGGTGTGTGCCTCTTTTGGAGAACCAAGAGAAGAGAGAAAATAGTGATGGGAGAGAAAAGAACTTTTCTTAAGAGAGAGAAAGAAATTCTAAGTGGGGCGTGTCGTTTGTGGGATGTGAGAGAGGAAATGGAATTAGGTACAAGAGATAAGGTGTAGAGATTTTTTTGGTAGAAACAATCCCTTTTTATGGGCTTTGAAGAAGATCAGGGTTTTTTAGGGTTTTCTTTGCTTACCTATAAGATTGAATATGGACCGTCGATCAATGATGACTTGTGGGGTGAGAGATATGAGTCATTCATTCCATAAATTGGCCATCAATATTATGGAAGGTGCATGAGCCATTATCCCCCTTTCCTAAACCATTTTTCCATCAATATAAATTAGATCAAATAAATTTAATCAAAATATTATGCATATTATAAAATATCATATATCAAGTCAATATTTAACCCATATATTCCAAGGCCACATGCCATATTACCACAAAAATAGGAAACAGAATAAGGGTGGGGGTGTGGCACCCAAGGGAGGCACTCATGGGCCCCACCTTGTAGAAATATGGTGGGCCCATATGCACAATAAGCCCCCATGGTATTTTTATATTTTTTAAATTAATAAAATAATTTTAAAATATTATTTGAATATGTAAACCATTGTAAAATCAATATCTTTAATTTTATAAATCTAAAAATTATAAATAAAATATCCAGTGGTTCATAAAATTTTAAATAAAATAATTTCTACCATAAAATAAATATAATTAAATTAATTTGATGAGAAAATGATCCATATGGTTTAGGAATTGAATCAACAATCATAAGGCACTCCACCTTCAACAGTGGACTACATATCACACTTGCTTTATAAGACCGACCCAGTGTTTCTTATGATCCACAGTCTAAGCAGTCGCTCATTAGCGGGTCACCAAAGTCTGACCGATGAGCCAAGGGTTCGCAATCCCAGTTTGTGAATTTCAGGTCTTCCCATAGAGATGAATCAAGGTCACCTAGACCTGATGCGACCACGGCTCCTATGGTGCATAGGGGTATCTCTCGCACATGCATACGCTTCACCCTGAAAAGTGGCTTACTTGCTTTCTCAAACGATCTATCAATATGCATGCTATGTGATGACACATGTATGAGGCTTTGGACCCCATCTCTATAGGCCACCATCACACACAAGGGTCACACAGTCCATCGGCTCACTCATCCGGGCATATGCTCCGACGTCATCAATGGGATGACTCATTAAAACCCTTCTCGATTTGTTCTCTATACCGAGGTAACATGAGTTTTTCCAACCGACTGGCTTAGATCGTCAAGCACAGTCTAATATCTGCAAACATCGCTTGCATAGTATAGTCCGCGAGGGACCACACTCCTACTAAGTTCATGTTCCACTATATTATTTCATTTTACCTTTAAAGGCCACATAAACCCAACAGGCATTCCCCACTATATTATTTCATTTTACCTTTAAAGACCGCATAAACCCAACATGCATTCCCCTATTTTGAGACTTCGAGGTATTTGTTTCACCTTAAATTTAGCATACACATCCTATTGGTACCAGCCAATAAAATATATTTTTTAAAAAAAACTCATAAAATATTTTATTGGCTCATACCAATAAAATATTTTATTGGCTGGTAACAATTCTGAATTGAATGGACGATTATTAAACCTTTGTTTATAATGTAGGAAGCCAGCCTCGACAGTAAGTTTTCCCATTAAAATATAAAGAAAATCCATTGACAAACCGTAACTTTTATGATAATGGAAGTCAGGATTCTTTGAACATGTCTTGCACAATGCACATAGTGCAGTACACACTTAAGAAGTGGCTATTACAAAAGAAAGCATAGTGAGTACAAGAAAGCATGTCAAACATTCTCATAATTATAGACCCTACAAGCAGGATATATACCGGCATGCATGAACAAGTGACCTAGCGAGGAGGTCCATATGGGCCTAGGGCTGGAGGCCCACCTGCTGGTCCGTTATGTGGGATTGGGCTTGGCAGCCCAAGAGGCCCACCCAGTGGTCCATGATGTGGGTTTGGGTCTGGCAGCCCATGAGGCCCACCCAGTGGTCCATGAGGTCTGCCAGGTGCTCCGTAATGTGGACATGGGCCTGGCAGCTCAGGAGGCCCGCTTGGTGGTCCATGATGTGCGTATGGGCCTGGCGGCCCAGGAGGCCCACCCGGTGGTCCCTGAAGTCAGCTGGGTAGTATGTGATGTGTGTCTGGGCCTGGCGGCCCAAGGGGCCCACCTGGTGGTCCCTGAAGTCAGCTAGGTAGTATGTGATGTGTGTCTGGGCCTGGCGGCCCAAGAGGCCCACCTGGTGGTCCATGAGGTCCGCCAAGTGGTTCGTGATGTTGGCCTGGGCCCAGAAGGCCCATCGGGTGGTTTGTGGGGTTTGCCAGGTAGTCTAGGATATGGGCCTTGCTCCAGGCGGACCACCATACGGGCAAGGGCCGCCTCCTCCAGGCATGTTGGGCTGCTTCCCTCTTTCTTGCTCTACTACTACTTCTCGCCCTTGCTCTTTGCTGCTCCTAGGGATCAAGACAGGGCTGAAAGAAGATTTGGGTGGAGGTGAAATGCTAAAGGGGCAAGGAGATATATATACACCTAACTAATAGTCGGACCAAACAACTCTCATATGTTGCACTCGCAGGATTGAAAAGCAAAAACTCCGGCATTACATGCCTTGTAATCTCTCATGGAGAGCTCCCTAGAACCTCTTTTTCTCTACTGCCCTTTGTTTTGTTTTATTTTGGTTTTCTCTCTTTTTCTTTTTTTCCGTATTGTAACCTGTTCATTATCTTAATGAAACACGCCTGCTTTCTCAAAAAAAAAAAGAAGTTTAGGAAGAGAGAGAGCTATTGTGTCGGTTATTCACAAATAAAAATTAAGGAAAACAATGTGATTGAGGAGATGTATCGTCTAATCTTCAACAAGAGAGACTTATTTGTCCAATTTTTCAAATGGATCATTCAATGGGAGACATGGCACAGAGAAACAAATGCAGATTTTTGGACTTTGCTTTTTCTAGTTTGAAGAGGCTTCCTCATTGCATAGACGCATCTATGTGTCCAAATTGCATATAGACAAAATGTGTCCATTTAGAGTCACATTTCGAGTTTCCTTGCTTCTCTACTCTCATGGCACTGCTTATCATGCAATTCAAGTAGATGCCTTATCCAATCTCTCTCCCTCTCTCTCTCGTTGGGGCTTCTCTAGGATTTATATTTGCTATCAAATTTTTTTTTGGTAAAATGTTTTTGATAGGGCGGCAATTCTATTAAATAAGTAAAGCTCCACCTTGAAATACATAAAAAATTGCAATTTTGGTGTTGAAAAATCTTTAAATAGATCTTCTCGGCTTTGACCATGATGGTTGTGAAAAAAAATGGGATTTCAAACCCTAAAAATTATGTATATTGTAACACATCGTTTAGACTATCCATTTCGCCTTAAAATAAGTGTTCATTGGCTAGCAAGATCTATATAATTTTTTGAGCTTCAATTTCATAGTTGGCGTTGGAAATTGATTTTAGAGCTATCAAGGAGATTTTCGATGCCCAAAGTGCTTTCCGAATAAAAGTTCTAGATGAGGGTTAATTTTGTTTTCATAAAGCCTAGGCCATATAAGAATTGCATCCATAGCCATTGGATAAAAAATCCAATAGATAAAAATGTATCAATAACGTCCAAAAAATTTTATTTTGGACTTTGCGCCAAAACAATGACACATCATGGACCTCCTGACTTACATCTTCTCACATGAGGTTCTCTACCCTAAACTCTATTGTTTTAAATATAACATCCATTGAAAAATATAAGGCAAATGGCAAGCAACCAAATAAAGACCAAAGTAAGTGGAGCCACAATTGTGACCTCAACTGCTACCTCCACACACTGTTTTAGAGGGAGAGAGTCATTCTAGAGAAATAATGCATGAGCTCTACATCCTTGGACTAGAGAAACAAAAGGATAGCTCAACCTCTTTCAGAGAGGATAAGGGGAGGTCAATCAACACTTTTTCTTTAAGAAAAGAAAGGGAGAGATGCGCTTTCTATTAGATAGAAATGATGGGTTTAGATAAAGAATAAAGAATTTATATATGGTTGCAACAAGTGTTTGCAAAACCGGCCGATCTAATCGTAAATCAGCCGGTTAGATCGGAACTGGTCAGTTGTCGATTTCGATTTTGGGCGGTTTTGATGATCAACCGATGTTTTAAACTTCAAATTAAATACTACTTCAAATTTATATCAAATGCATTAGAATGGTTTATTGGTTAGCTTTGATGATTAAGTTTTATATGAATCATGGTTTGAATCCTATGGCCAGTGTGTTTTCTTTTAAGAAATCATTTTGTTGGTTCAAAAAAATTACTTGCCCGATAAAAACAAAGCGCCTATATTATATATAACTTAATTTTTTCTTCATTTTCTTTTAAAAAAAGAGTTGGTCAAGTCGATTTTTTTAATACTATTTTAATATTCTTTACATTATGGTAAAGACTAAAAAAAAATTGGTCATTGATACTCACTTTTATATTTTCTCATATTTTTCAAAAAAAATTAAAAATACCCCTAGGCACAAATCGATTCGTTAAAATCTATTTTTTCATTAATTTTCAACTTCATTTGAGTGTGTTTTGTTTTAATCACATTCTTTATATGTTTTTCATAGTTTAGTAGATTTTTTTTGTATCTTTTTTATTGTTTTCAACACTTTTTTTATCGTTCGAAACTTGCCCGGTTAGAGCAGTTGAATCTGCTGATATACCGGTTAGGCCAGTTAACTCGTTTCCGGGCCCATGTCTGCTTAACCGTTCCGGTTCGATTTTACGAACACTAGTTGCAACCAATGCTCAAAAAACCAAACCGGCCAAGGGCCGAGTCTGAGTAACCGGTAAATCAACCTAATCGGCATGTCCCGGCCCATCTAAAAATTGTCAAAAAAATAAAAAAATCCCAAAAAATATGAAACATGATTAAATAAAGCACATCCAAATGAAGTTGAAAAGTAGTGAAAAAATAGATTTTAAAAAATCAATTTGTGCCTAGGAGTGATTTTGAAATTTTTCAAACAAGATAGGAGAATGTAAAAATAAGTATACATGGCCAAAATATTTTCCAATCTTTGCCAAAAAAAAAGATAAAAAAAATATTAAAGACACATTACAAACAAATCCCTTATTTATTAATTTATTTTTAAATACTCAGTCGGACCACCAAAACCGGATTGGCCAGTGCCAAGTTCCGGTTTGACAGGTCGATTCCAAGTTTGCAAACATTGATTGTAACCTTACATTATTGAAGTAATGTGCACCTCAAAAATCCTACAGAAAAGAGTGTTCTAGCGTTAGATTGATCATCTTGACCTTGAGATGTATGTACATAAAGCGGAAAAAAAAAAAAAGATTTTAAGTCTAAAAAATAGTGTTCCTTGTAGCAAATTATATGAACTGCCTATTTTCAAGATTTTTAAGTGTTTATTGCTATGGTCAGCCCATACCATTTTTAAAATCTGAAACTTTATCATCAAGAAAAAAACAGATTTTCAAGCCATCATAAAATTTGTGATCCATAACCACATCTCTAAGCAAATTTTAGAGGTGCGCCTTACATCTACAGTATAAAAAGGCAACCCTATACAAACCTCACCCTTTGTATAACGAGATGGTGAGCTCAATAGGCCCGGGTATTAGAGGGCCAAAAGGGTGTTGTGTCCATCCCATTTTGAAAAGAAAATATTTTGCTTCATATTGAAGAAATGTATGTCTTATCTTAATGTTCTCACAATAAGATAGTGTTTTAGAGTTGCACAATGTTGTAACCTTAAGATCACACATCAAAATCAATTAGTTTCATTCACATTCTCTATTTGTCTCAAAGAATTTTTTATAGCAGTGTCATCGTACAAGTTCGTCCTCTTAAGAGCCTCGCCTAAAATTCTTGTGTGGAAAGTACTTTAGGTGTCGATAATCTCCATGATGATTTTAAAATCAATTTTCAATGCTGACTATGAAGTTTGAAGCTAAAAAATGTAGGCATCTTGCGGATTTGACAATCAATTTCCAATACTAACTATGAAGTTTAAAGCTCAAAATATGGTCTGGACATCGTGTTACAATAAACTAGTTTTAAAGCTTGAAACCCTAATGCTTTTATCATATTGGTCAAGGCTGAGATAATCGATTTGAATGTTTTCTGACACATAATTATAAAGTTTGGTGAGTTTTAAAGTGAGGCTTTACTTATTTTGATAGGGATATAGCCCCATCAAAAACATTTTCCTCAAAAAGAATTTGATAACAAATATAAACCATAGAGAAACGAATGCTCTCTCTATTTAAAATTGGCTTTTAAATTTTAAAAATTTGAGAGAGAGAGAGAGAGAGAGAGAGAGAGATATTGGACATGGCATCCACCTGAATTATTGGGTGAGTGTGGCCATTAAAGACCGTATGGTGCTCCAGGTGCGGCTGGTTATATTTGTTTTTTTTTTTAGAATTGTTGTTTGAATTTGTTTAAATTACTGGATATTTTATTTATTAAATTTGGATTTATAAATATAGAGATATTGATTTTATAATAATTTAAATATCCAAATAATAATTTTATGTATTACTAAAAATATAAAATAAATTAAATATGCATAGGAGGCCCAATAGGTCTTTTGGGCCCACCATTACATGATGGGTGGCGCCCATTATGTGCCACCATGGCACGCTCCACGTATAGCATCTTTCCTATTTGGTGTTCAAGCTTGAAGCTTGAGAGAAGGTTTTGTATTGTTTTGGAAAGTTTAAAGCCTTGATGAATGTTTGATTAATATTTTGGAATGCATGAATTTTTTATTAATATTTTGGAATGCACGATAAGGCTTATGCTTCAAATAAGAAAGGATAATATTATGATATATTAAGAAAGGATAATATTATGATATATTAATTACTTATTTGAATTAATAGATGGAAAAATGGTTTAAGAAGTGGGAGATAATGGTCTAGCACTTTTCATAAATTGTTGATGGCCCATATGTGGAATGGAGAACTCAGATCTCTCACCCCACAAGTCACCCAATATAAATGGTTCATATTCAATCTCATGTGAGTGACAAGACAAGAAAAGCCATAAGAAACCCTAATCTTGATCCAGCGTTATTAAAAATAGATTATCTCTACCCAAAATCTCTACACCT